ACTACGTACTACGTACGTACGTACGTACGTACGTAGTACTATATAATAACTATAACTAATACGTACTATACTACTACTACTACTACTACTACTACTACTACTACTACTACTACTACTACTACTACTCTCTCTCTCTCTCTCTCTCTCTCTCTCTCTCTCTCTCTCTCTCTCTCTCTCTCTCATACCTCTTCATGACCATGGATGACAACAAGTTCGTTGCGGTTATGTGATCCAGCCACTAGTCCGGCGCTCGCCTCCATTTTCCTGTCGAAAGACACACCGGAAAAACCAGTGGTTATCCTATTTCTTTTAAAGGCAGCATCTTCTTATATGAAGCTTCATTGTTTTGGTGGGTTCTGAAATTCTCCACCTAATTCCATGAAGGCCTGGTTCGGTTAGTTGCCCAGTCGCCATTGCCTTGGCCACCAAGCATTGTTGCCTCCTAACTACCATCTTCTCATTCTTGCATTGTAGAGCACCATGGATATGACAATAATGCACTTGAAGGTTGGCATAAAGTCATGTGGTGTTTTTGTAATATTAATGAAATTAAGGAGGCCTTTTTGTAATTTAGGTTTTGTTTCAGTCCTGTTTGGATAAGAAAGCAAGATTAAGGTTAAACCCTAGAGGCATATATTGATTAGATAATACGAGCTTAGGTGAAGAGTAGAGGTGTATATGGGATGTTTGCTTTTTAGGGAATGTATGTATAGGGGAACTTGCATTAAAAGGCAGACAAATAAGAGTTGGGGTCTCCATGTCACCACCCACTCCTCTCATAACGTCCCTCCTACCCTTGTGTGATCACTACGTTTCACATCTTATCACCTTTCTCTCTCTTCCCAACTTTTTCCCTCTCTCACCCTTTTAGGGTGCATTTACATTTTTAGAAAGACCATCCATTATAGGAAAAATTACGTCCTTAAAAAAAAAAAAAAGAGAAAGGTCTAAATTTTGCAAATTTTACTTGAAGATCTTTTTGGGTTTTTCTTTTTTTCAATTACATGTTTTTTTTTAAATATCGGATTGCTTTTTTGTTTTTATTTTTTAATTTTTTGAGTTGTAGGGCTGGGTTCGATGTTTGGATACTTAGACCTTTAGATTACGTGAATATTGTGTAAGCCAAGCGGTCCGTAGTCCTAAGATGTGTACCTAAAATGTGAATTTTTCACGGTCTAGGGACCGGTCTGAAGTTCAAAAACTGCTTGGCTTCTACATTTTTCACGTCAGCCAAACGGTCCAAGGATCCAAACCTCGGACAAATATCAAAAACTTCAAGGACTTTAAAAATAAAAGTAAAAAAGCGCCCAGATGGAAAAAATGGAAAAAGTAATAAAAGGTCAGACTCGTGCACATTCTAAATTTTAACAAATTTTGGACGTATGTACATTTACTATATTTATATATGTTAAGGAGGTAAAGTTTCCTAGATTGTACGTTTGAATGAGTGTGTTTCCAGGAAATTATGTGGACGCGCGGGAGCATTTATCTATGGGACTGAACAGTTAGGAGTATTTTTACGACCTCAAATTCTTTGATGTTACCTAGCCTCCTCAAAGATGCGGTACACATTTTATATGTGATTAACCTAATAATAGCAGGTAGATACCGTTTCAATTTTTGGAATGTGAGATTTAGGTACCGATGTATTCAAAATTTTATTTTATACATTTTCAAGATACTCATCTAATGGTTATAAGTTGGACTGGATCCAATAATTTCCAATCGAAAATCCTTCGAAAGAGGTCGTGTCAATGAGAGAGTATGTGTACAATGTACTCCAACAGGACTATGCTGCATGCAGTAGAGTGTATTTACGTGAGAGTAGAACGTCTACGTGTTCTTGCTAAATCACTTGGCCATGCGTGCACATTACTTGACTTGGGGCACATTATTTTGTTCACATGCATGTCACGAATTAGCCATTATCACAGTAATCAAGCTTAGGCTTGGGCTTGAGTGGTTAGCGATTGACATTAGCAATATTATATGTCAAGTTCGATTCCTATTGCTAAACTGCCTCAAAAATATATATTAACATGACAAGTTCTGATTAAGTCCATATTTAATAGAAGGAAAAAGTTTATTTAAGGTCGCAACCTTAAACTATAGAATTAAATATGCACCTCAAAAATCGATCGGAAAAAGTTGTTTTAATGTTGAAAACCTCTCTAATTGATCATCTCAACATCGAGATGTATGAATATAAAAAGAAAAAGAGATTTGAGTCCCATAAATAGTGCATCTTGCAACACATTATCTAGACCGTTAATTTTCTAGATTTTCATATGTTTATAGATCTACTTGATTTTATCCATTTTTAGAGTTTAAAGTTTTATAATTAGATATAAAAATGGATTTTAAGTTAACCCTAAGAACTTTTTTCTTCAAAATTACATGTTATGATAAAATTTAAAGGTGCACCTTAATTGAATTATTTAAGGTTGCAACCTTATAGAAACCGCACCCTTAATCGATTAGCTAAAGTTCAGATTAAGTCAGTTATTTAATGGAATAGTTGTATCTTCTAAAAGGGCCGTTAGCTAGAAACAATGTGTGCGCAAGAGTCACAAGCATGAGATAGAGAAAGAGGATCTTTTTGTTTGTGTGAGTGTGGGCATTGTACATCCAAATTGAGACTTCTGACTTCAAATGTTTATACCTTTGTTTTGAACAATGGTAGGTGTCATTTCATAATAATATCTTTCAAATTATAGTTTTTATAATGGGTATTACTACAGAGAGAGTGTAGTGGATTTTGGTCCTATCTCATTAATTAAGAATGGAACATATAGCTCCAAGGGCAAGTATATTGAAATTGATTTGTATTATGATATTATTGAAAAGAATGAACTAACTGTAAGCTTTTCACCAGCATTTGATATGATTGTAGACCCTTTGATAAAGGGATTAATGTTGGGTTTCTGTGGCCATCAAAGAGCTTATGCGAGCCTATAATCAATATCTGATATGGTGAAATAAAGAACTCTAGTGGGAGTATGGTCCAAACGGACCAAGATAACAAATGCTATTTGTCGATACTCATATTTGGTTTGGCGTACTAGATCAGTCGAGTTAGAAAACCCCTATTACCTAAGCATAGAAAAAAATCGATGAGGTTTTTGGGTTATCTCTTAATAAAGTTGGAGGTGTTTAAAAAGTGAGCCAAAGGACTGTGTGATCCTTTTGTGTGGTGCTTGGCCTCTAAAGATGAGGGCCAAAACATCATCACTGAACCATCACACGGCATATCAATATGACAACAGTATCGGGAAAGCAAACCACCATTGAGGGTGAAGTATATACATATGTGAGAAATTACCCTATGCACAATAGAACTATAGTTGCATCTGATCTAGGTAACCATGAGTTTATTTCTAGGGGAGAACCTATAATATGTAGACTGAAATTGTGTCTTATTGCCTATTGGCTGACTTTGGTAGCCCAATCATGAACCGCTACAGTGGTCTATGGGTCATAAGAACTACTGAGTCGATTTGATAAAACAAATATGGATTATAGTCCACAGTAGAAGATTGAGTGCTTCAGCGATATTATAAATTCTTAGAACTAGACAGATTCGATTCCCATGCTTTTGAAGGTCTGAGATAGACTATTGATCTCATTCACCATTGGAGGAGGATAACCGGTGTGGGGTATATGTCGGATTGAGAAAATCTTCATGCATCTTGCTTTATGGTTTGTAATAATTTATTTTTTATGCTTCAATAAAATAAATAGTAATTAGTAACAACAAGTAAAAACCACTTTTGGTTATCTATTTTTTTATTTCAAGTAAATTATATTGTACTTGAACCTTTGTAAGTATTCTAGTCAGTAAAAAAAAAAAAACTATATACCTAGTGCTAGATCATCTTGTCCAATTTTCAATTAATTACTGAAATATTTTCAAAACATGTAACTTTGATATGATATAGGAACATCTAGGTCAGGAAATCCTAAAATGGGGTATTATATTTTAATGTCTTGATCATGAGAGGTAGAATCACATTAGCGTGAAAAACCACATGACAAATAATTTTAGGTCATAAGATGTATAATCGCATAAGATGTATAATCGCACTAGCATGAAAAGTGTCATGACAAAGATGTGCTTATAAAGGTTAAATCCACTAAATGGCATAGGCTTTAAGGTATATTAATGTTAAATCCAATAAGCGGCATAAGCTTTAAGGTATATTAATATTTTCGGTAGTCATGACCAAATAGGAGATATTGGTGTTTGTGTAGCCATGGGGCCTCACTTATTCCACTTTTTTTTTATTTATCTTAATTAAAATTTTTAAAGACATTGCATTTTTTTTTTATTATCTGTGAAAGGGTTTCTAGGTAGAGAACCTTTCTTCCAACAATTAGTAGATGACTCCTCTCTCTCCTAGACTTTGAAGGCCATCTTGTCAAAGATTGCATTGCATTCTATTTTCAGGCATCTCGCATATTGATTTTAATCAACTCCAATACATGAAGTTATCCACATTCTATTGTTAGGTATCCTTCGTACTGATTATTATTATTTTGAGTAAATGTGAGCTTCATTAAGATAATGAAAAGTACAATAAATAAGGAAAAAGAAAAAGAGCAAAAAAGGAGAAAAAAAACAAAGGCAGTCTTCAACGGGACCGGCTGGGGTTGTCGGTTGTTAAAGGTAAAAGACAAAAGGTGACCACAGCTTAAGAGGTGGCCAAGTTAGCCAGTCGGTTAGCATCAGAATTGAACTCTTAAAGTACATGTGAAAAAAGAAACTTGAAAGTCCTTTAGATGGATTAAAATTTCAGCCATATGGCTGCTAAGATACCAGGGGTGGGAATCTGGGGCCAAACACCAACTAATGACATTAGCCAAGTCTCCTTGATATGCATCCTTGGGTAGGAGAGATTTAGATTTAGAACTCCGATCTTCAATGTCCATAACTCCGCCTCATTAATCTCACAGGTGTGTACTCTTCCTGAGACCGCCCATAACAAGGCCCCACGATGATCACAGAGAATTCCCCCATACCCACCCACCTGTCCCTTCACACTTCCATCTGATTTTAATCCGTAGACGGCAAACATTGGCTTAAATCAGGAGGGCCTTCCATCTTGTGTTCATAAGCTTTACACAAAACTATTTTTATATCTGCATCTCATCCACGCCCCCTTCTAAATTTCCAGCATCAGCTACACAGTTGTTCAGAGAGAGACCTTGTGAAGAATTTGGAACTCCTTGGGTTTTAGATCCCAAAACTTGCCTATTTGCATAATAAGTCAAGTTTGTGGGCCCAGACCTGGTCTATGCCCATTTCTCAGTTTGAGGCCAAACCTCTCTGGTATGAGAAAATCAATTGCCAAAAGATCAGATTGAAGTACTCAGTCCATTGCTCATTCCATGAGTGAAACAATACCATTACTTGTTTCTCAGCCATCTTTAGGAAACAACGACTCAGCAAGAGTTCTTAAAAAAAAAACTTGAGATTTCATAACGCAAATATTATCATCAATCACATATCATCTACAGGATTACTCTTGATGGCTTTCATAAATTTCATACAAAAATTTTACAAAGTGCCAAAATGGATGCATGACATGGTGGGAAGGTTAGGAAGAGTGTGTGTGTAAATTCTAATAATATATGAACTCATAACTCAGATAATATTATACACCTCGGATTGGAAGAAAATAAACGGAAAAACCACAAATTAGTTACATCCAGTTATTACTATCCTCCTCCAACTAATGGATTATCTTGTTTAGACGCCTGCAGAGACTTCCGAATCTTGCTTCTTCTTTGGCTGCTCCTGACTTTTTTGAAGCACTGTTTTGTTTGGAACCAGGACAATGTAAATGTTCCTCTCTCTAAAATTCTTGCTTTCCTCCGTTGCTAGCTGCAACACCCATTTTAAATAAATGATACGGGAATGGAAATCTTAATATCTCTCTCTGACGAAATGTTAGCCAACTGCACAACTGCTTTGTAGTGAGAAAGAGCAAACAAATGTACCTCTCCAATGTCACTCTGGAATCGCTTGATAAGTTCAATAGCGATATTTCTGAACTCGTTTTCGCGGCCCTTCAAATTCACTATGACCTTTACCTGTGGAATTGTCCACAGGATCTCAGTTTTACATTTACCAAAGCATGAAGGATTTGAATATGTGAATAGGAAGTCCTGGATATAAAGCAGAAGCTAAGAGCCCACCTTATCCCCATCGTTGAGAAACTTTTTGGCAGCTTTGATTCTTACAGAGTAATCATGAGAGTCAATGTTATAACTGAAATGCAATGAACGACAATCGTTAGGAAATTTAAAATATATTCTTCTTTTCACTTCATGATGAGCAAGACACATTGGCTATTTTTTATTATTTTTTAAGAATAGTTTCTATTATTATTGTTGTTATTGCTGCTGCTGTTGTAGTAGCAAAAACTAAACACTTTATAACCTGTCATTTTTTGGGTAAAAAGACACAGACTGCATATCTTCCGACCAATGTTATGGGACTCAACTCGGCCAAGGTACTCAGCCCTACTAGGCTAAGGCGAGTTACTTGGCCGAGTCCTGCACAGGGCCAAAAAGCTCTAAATAAATAAAAAAAATAGAAAAAAAATTGAAAAACAAAAGAAAGGCAGTAAAAGTAAAATAAAACCAAAAGCAACCTTAAAAAACTAAAATAAGCTTTAAAGTACAGAAAATATAGACTTAAATAAAATAAACTAATTTACAGTTTGGGAAATATAAAAATAGGTAAAATGACAAAAAAACACTCACCAATCTTTGCCAAAAACATCCAAATAATATACAAAAAATGTATATAACATTTCTATCTATTTATTTTTTATTTTTTTTATATACCCCAGTTGTACACACAATTCGGGGTTACTCGGCCTCGCCTGAGTCCGAGTGGACTCAGGTAAGTCCCGTAACACTGCTTCCTACAATAAAGTTCCAGTAAACAAAATAATACCATACATAGGCAGTGTAAAATATGGTTTATTATACATCACCAGGGCACCCACCTTCTGTTATCAACAATAGAAGGGTAGAAATTTCTCATAATTCCTAATAATGGACACTTGCAACAGCAGAACATCTTTGAAGCAAGAGAAGTGAAAAATCAAAATGGGGTTTTTCTTATAATCAATAAATAAATAAATTTAAAAATACTTACCCCATTTTGAGCTCCTTGAGATCCATGCGGCTTGCTGCAACATTCAAAACACCTTCTTCAATTATCATGTATAATGAACAACAAATACTAACACATCTTAAGTTCGAACACACAACGGAAATGCCCAAAAAATTACACCTAACTCCAAAAGGAAATAAGAGGCTAAGATCAGAGAGTAAGACAGACAAAAAAAAATTGAGAATAGAATATCATTTACCTGCACTTTTCTTCTGCTGTTCCCTTTTTTTCTTCTGTTGTTCGTACCTATACTTGCTGTGAAACATCGAAAGGGGAAACTTTAGATATCAATGAATAGAACAGCATTAGTGTTAATGTGATTCATTTATACTTGATTACTATGAACAGCTCGATCCTACAATGAAATTTTTCTGTAGTTCAAAAGAAATCGGGGTTCGGCCTTCTAACTTAGTGGTCAGGGCGGCAAATGAGAAGAAACTCTATGGTCTAAGTTTCAACCAATAAAATAAAAAATCCATAATTAACCGAATCCACAAAAAATATCTATATAAAAAAGAAATCATGTCCATCCTGTCACCACAAGAAAGTGAACAGCCAATAAAGAAAAAACCTGATTTTCATAGGAGTTTTTAAAGGACTCACACCCTGTAAAAAATAAAGAAACGGAAAGTAACTTATTGCTTCCTCTTGGTTGTACAACTCATTTCTATCTCTTCTCCTACTTGGTATCCTAAATGGTTAAAACCATTCAATTCTTGTGAAAGAGCAACTCATCTTTATTCAATCTGTACCTCTCAATGAGAGCTTGAAGGCACCACCAGGTTTCCTAATAAATCTATAACCCAAAAAGAACAAGAGTAGATGACCAGCTGATTAGCAATCAGCCTAGCAATCTTGGATTTGAAGGCTTTGGAGGTCAATTGTCAGCCTTTAGATTCATGGAGCAATTAAATTTAAGAAACTGTTAGCTCAAGTAAGCACACATTCACTAACATATGAACATCTTTTAAGTTTGTTCACTACAAAAAGTCAAGGACAACAATTGTCTAGAGATCATTTGCATCAAACACAGATGTAAAGTACAAATTCTTTTAATTGCTCTACAGGTGTATGTGATACACATGCACAGAAACGTATGTATCAAATTCCTATAATGGATTGGAAATTCTGCGTTTTTTTCCACTTTCTACTTAATAACAGAACCTTTTCATTATATCTGGAAGGGAAACCTTTTGCATCTCTCTCTCACTGTTAACTACTCATTGAAATGGGAGCCAAAAGCCACCTCCAAATCACCCATCCAACCAAAGCAACTGATAAAGCGGCACTGAACCTAAGAAGCAACAATAGATATACTCTTGGTCTGGACCTCTTTTGTTTAACATAAAGAAGATACATGACATTTATTAACTACAAGAAAAGCACCCCCGCCATTTCAAGCAAGGATATTTCCTATGTTATTCTCGTGCCTATAATTAAATAACCTGTGAGTTTCTTTATAGCATGCAGCTTATAACCACAAAAGCCAATTATGTATGACTTCTAATGCTACATTTGCTATATGCAAGCAGTTTGTGATTGTGACCTATTGACTGAGCCTTGTGATAAGCCCTTATTATCCAACTGCTATATTGTTACTTAATTTCCAAGGCAAGCAATGATTGTGATTTTCAGCTACATTCATGCAAATGAAAACTTACAATGTTGTTTAATAGTCATTTCAGCAGATATGCTCAATAAGAGACCTCTACAAAGGTAATCTCCATGGATAATCAAGTAAGACACATTGATAGGAATATGGGTACTTGGTAGAAACAACCCCTTATGAGATCATCTTCTATAAGAATACCTGTCCCAAGTAAAGACCCAAAGGAACTGGCTTGAAGCAATCGCTGAAGAGCAATCGTATTTCATCAGAAAATAATGAAAATAAGTATCTAGGGGAAAAAATTCTAAGACTCGTTCAAAGGCCTGTAAAGATAGGGACACAAAATTAATTCATTTCTGAGCCTAATTCTTCTTAATGTTTTTCATATAAGAGATGACTACTGAAAATTTTAGAAGGGGTTAAAAACCAGTGAATATATAGAGCAATGCTGGCTTGAATGGGAAAAAACTGTTCAACCAGCCATAAAATGAAGCCCAATATAAGCATTCCTAGTGAAGTTTGCAATAATCCAAAGAAGTAGCGTGGAATTCTTAAACAATACTTTCACATGGAAAAAATAACTTCAAGCCCTAAAACCCAAGCCAGTTTTTAAAGAGAGCGCATACTATACTGATGACTGGAAATCCAAAAATCAATAGAATGGTAGAACAAATCCTACATATAATCCAAACAACCAAACCTAAGAAAAAAAAAAACAAAATAACCATACCTGTAATCCATTATTCTGACAACCGGAGGATCTGCTTCTGGGGATAATATAACCTGTAAAAGAAGTCATTATTAAGTTGGACCAAATGGGGCCAAAGTTTAGCAATTGCTTCTTTTCTTTTCCTTTTTTTCGGGGCCGGGGGGGATGAATCCCATGGTACATTTCTTTTTTTTCTTTTTAAACTGAATTCGCTGTACAGCAGTACCAAAATATACACTATCCCACCACCCAAAGACACTGTTATGGAGATTTATTTGACCCCTGAAGCTTTCAAACTGCTTTTCCTCATCTCTAGCAATCAATTTTAAAGAAAATTTATTTGGAGCTTGAAAATATCTAAATTAGTTACCGCTTCCTAGACTGACTCTGGACTGTGACTGTCCATTTAATGGATGATTAGATCTAGGGTTTTAAGAAGTAAGAACTCTATTTTTCTTTTTTCTTCTTTTCTTTTTTATGGAACTGTCCACAGGATGAATAAAAAAAGATAGAAAAAAATTCAGGTCAAAACTATCCCCCAAACCTTTTTAAATTCATACACCACGTAACTAACCAAAACGATCAGAAGAAAGCATACCAGATCAAGCTCAGCATCTTCCGCCATGCGGATGGCTTCACTTTTGGGCATTATTCCAACCTGTAGAAAACCCAGTGCATCTAACATAAAATACAGCCTAAGAACTAAACATCAACCCAAATTCGGTAGCATAATTCTAAGAAGAAACTAATTCTGTCAGAATCAACTAACCATATTCTGCTGTGCATCTATGAGCCGCACAGAAGGTGACCTGTTTCACATATCTTCATTATTAGCCGCATAACCAACTTAAATTCTAGGGAACCATAACCAAAGTAGAAAGAACGGATATGGAGGTGTTGGGCAATATATGAACATACAGACACAAAAAGTATGGGAAGTTTGGCAAGATTGCTGTTAATCCTTGCAATATCAGAACCCCAACTGACATTGGCATCGAGTGAAAAAAAGCTACTCATTGGAAAACTAAAAGTGTCAAAATTAAAAAATAAGAAATACCAAAAAAGCTTAAACCCCACTTAGAATAAGAATACTGAATCTACATGTAACTTTTGATTCGCATTTAGTAAGCTGGATCACATAAGTTTCAATGAATTTATTTTAGAAAATTAAAATCCATCACCTAGAGCATGATATTCAGATTTCAGAAGTACGTAACAATCCAAGGACCCTTCATTTTAACAGGGAAAACCAGTAACCATGACTATTTGCCTTTCTAAAAGCAAAGTCCTCACAAGTTACGCTTTATTGCCTTCTTAATCTTATTCCAAGCATGTGAGCTCTTCCTAGAAAAAGAGTAAAAGCCAACCAGAATTGAACAATTTGTCTCAATGATTAGGTTGTGGCTTCAATACCATGTTTACCAACAAAGGAATAATGAAATCTGATGCACATACTATGTCTTGGAGGGAAACACATTGAAATTCCTCCTAGAAAAAGATCAAAAGAAAAGGAAAATAACCTTCCAAGTAAGGAATCATTCAAAAGTATAACACATGTTTCATAACAGTGTGGAATGAACCAAACAACCATTTATCTATTTGAGCATTTCCCCATCCTATAAAGTAAAAAGTGGAGAAGAATAGGCCAACATTTTTGTATTTGATGCAAGGAAGATGGAAGGAAGAAATAATTAAAATAAACATATTAATAAAGGGTAAGAAAATGTACCCTCTCTCAGCGTCTGCAAGGGAATCCACACCAAATATCTTTTCATAGGATCAACTCTTTACTGAATCACCAAATTCTCTCCATTTACAAAGAAGGGACATCTTCCCTTTAAATACATTTAGTTGAATAAATAAATAAATAAAACCCACAAACAAAAATAACTTTATATCTCTCTCTCTCTTTCTCTCTTTCTCTCTCTCTATTCTCCACATACCAGCTTTTCAACCCACCCTTATCTCTCTCTAACTTCATATCTTATAAAAAGAAAGTTTGATATCTTTTCCAACTCTCTTATCTTTCTTTTTCCTTTCATGATACTTATCAACCCATTAAGAGATAATAACCTCAACCCCCACAAAAACAGAAACTATATCCTCATAAAAATCTATCTTAACCAACTCCCACAGAGAATTGATTATTTTATCCTTTAAATCTCTACATGTAAAGAAGACAATAATAACCTTAATGAAAACCAAACTCTCAAATAATACATTTTTTAAAATTTTAAAACATATAATGTAGAAAATTAAAAAACCCCGATTTTTATTTGCATCATTCTCCTTGGGTTGGGAGAAGCTCAACCTCAAGCTTATGGAATTCAAAAAATTTCCTTCATTATCTTCTTCACGTTGTTCCAACTGGAAACTTTCACCCTTGTCTTCTAGAACTTTTGATTGTTGATCCTAATCGAACAAAGTCATAATATGCTTAAAAAATCAATTGTGATCCCAAAATCTCTTGCACCTTCCACCACTTGTATTTCATGAGTCTCTAACTCAATTTCTAAAGCAAGCTGTGATGTGTGACTAATGCTTGGACTGGTGGTTGATTCTTGATCTTCTACCTCTTCATGTTCTTCCTCCTCCAATTGCAATCTATTGAATAGATCTTGTAGACCCTGTTCTATTACTTTGCTATGCTCTACTAGGTCTTCTTTGAGTCTCAAATATCCAATCACACAAATATTTGATCTAGACGCTCCATAACTAGATCATCAGTTATTTGTGATTAACACGGATCTCATGGCTCTTTGTCATCAGCATGGATCTCAGGGCTCTAATACCAACTGATGTAGGGAGAAACAATAACACGGCTCTGATACCAACTGATGCAGAGAAGATGGAGGGAAGAACTATTTAAAATAAAAATAATAATAAAAGCTGAGAATATACCGAGGGAAGAAATATTTAAAATAAAAATAATAATAAAAGCTGAAAATATAGCATCTCTCAGGATCTGCAAAGGAATCCACCCTAAAGGTCTTTTCACAAGATCAACTCTTTACTGAATCACCAAATTCTCTCCATTGACAAAGAAGGGCCATCTTCCTTTTAAATACATTTAGTTGAATAAATAAATAAATAAAACCCATAAACAAAAATAAATTTATCTCTCTCTTTCTCTCTCTCTCTCACTCTCTCTCTATTCTCCACGTACCACCTTTTCAACCCACCATTATCTCTCTCTAACTTCATATCTTGTAAAAAGAAAGTTTGATATCTTTTCCAACTCTCTCTTATCTCTTTCTTTCTTTTTCCTTTTTCCTTTCAACCCATTAAGAGATAACAACCTCAACCCTCACAAAAATAGAAACTATATCTTGATAAAAATCTATCCAAATCAACTCCCATAGAGAATTTACTATTCTAACCTTTAAATCTCTACAACTGAAGAAGACAATAATAACCCTAAAGAAAAATTCTTGCAAAAAAAATTCCTGCAAACCCCGATTTTTATTTGCATCAGTATTGCTGGTGTCTCCATCAATGATTTTCAAAAAATATACTCTCTTTTGTGAGAAAACATTTTCCGAACACTCCAGTGTTCTCAATTATAAATCACCCATTGAAGGAAAATGCAGTGACGCAAATATTGGAGTGCTACATATTGTATCCAAGGCTGGGGTTTCAATTCTTAATTCGAGATGACTTCGGTATTTCCCGATAGTTCTACACCATTTGGATCAACTATTTTTCATCTCTGGACACTGAGACTTGCCTGATGAACCCAGGTAGTGTTTTAATCATTTCCTTCCTTTCAAATGATCCTAAAGTATGGCCGTACACATGGTACACCAAAATATCTCCCCTGTCCAATTCCAACCTATCCCTCACTGGAAAGCAACCTCATTTAATTACTCATAAAGGGAAAGCAGCCTTAGACAGTGTGCCAGGTTACATACAAAGGGAAAGCAAACTCACAGTGTTATAAAATATTTACTTCTCACTCATGAAAAACTTAATTAAAAAAAAATTATTTCACATCAGTACAAAGGAGAAATAAAACGTTGATATGTTTCAACCCACATGGGTTGAAGACATTATCCCTCGGGCAGTATACGAACCTCGCTCATAAAGTTGGTTCTTTTATGCTGCCACAGATAACATAAAGTGGGCTCTTAGGGTGCCTCTTAGCGGAGTTCATAAAGTGGGTTCTTATGTTGCTCCCACATAGCTCAAAAGATAGGTTATTTTGGTGCTCCTACATAGTTCATAAGGTGGATTCTTTTGGTGCTCCTGCACAACTCTACTCACTAATTAAGTAATAAAACATACGTTAATGTAAATTAAAAAAAAAAACCTATGTGAATGATTTCTATTCCACCTCATAAGATGAGCAATGGGATCACAGTCGGCCATTGCATGCTTACTATGTGGAGAAACTTCATACCTTCTCTCCTTCAATGATCCCAAGTCTTCCCTATTAAATTTTCAGTATCTGTTGATGTACTGAGGCTCTCTTTGCTATCCGCTATAACTATGACATCATCTAGATAAAGAAGAATTATAGACATCCCAACAGATGGCATTCTACCAAACAGTGAATAAACCATGAGACTTTTAGGACTCAAAAAAAGCTCCCATAACAGATTCGTAGAATTGTTTCAGGCCATAAGACAATTCTCAACCTTTGAATTGGTCAATGGAAGAACAATCCGGATAGTTCTCATTTTAAACAACTTGACTAAAAGTCTAAGACTACCATCCCAATCAAAACAGCATTATTTATCACATCTTAAACACAACAGTTGTAGCTCTTGGTTATCTAGAATAAAGACTATAAGTAACAGAAATAATAGATGATTGATTGTTAAAAAACCAACGTTTTTTAACTCTCCTAGGCCAAGGTACTCCTCCCTTGGCCGAGGCGTGTAACACGGCCCAGTAAGGAACGGTCCAAGAAACTACATAAAAAGAAAAAGTCAAAAAAAAAAAGAGATTTGCAAAAAAATATTTAAAAATCAAAAAAAATTGAAAGTGGCAATAGAAATCATTAGAAGACCAAAGAAGATAAAAAATCTATAAAAGATGGACATTGAAATTTTTTATTAAGATCTTGAATATTTCAGAAAAACTAAAAAACAAGGAACAAATATGAAAGTTCCCAAATCATCTTAAAAACTATCAAAATCATCTAGAAACTTAATTCTAACAGTATAATGGCCCTTTCAAAAAAAATTTGCATTTTAACTTTTAAAATATTTTTTAGTGCCTGTTTTAGGGGCTTTGCAAGTTGCCCTGGAACTCGCCCCAAATAGGTGGAGGCCGAGTAACTCTGCCGAGTCCAGTCGTCCGAGTGGACTCAGCGGAGTCCGAAAATGCTGTAAAAAACATAAAGACATAGTTTAGTAGAGCAACCAATTTCAAAAGGCGCAAGACATACCAACAATTGCATATTAGAGTTCCAACTTTCAAAATGGACATGCACAATTAAAATCCAAAAATAAAACTCCTATTCTCACATAGATACACTGACATACAAATAGCACAACACCTCCAATATAGATACACCAAAATATGAAACAACAACATCTCAATAAAACTAACTCAAATTCAAAAAGAACCTGTCAACATTGATTTATTATAATTTTCTTACACTTAAATTGAATTCAACACAAAGTAACACAAAAAGGCTTTATTTCAGTAACAATTAAAACAAAATCCATTGGAATTGACTTCAATTAACCAAATCATTGAGGGGAAGAATTTTAAAACTACACAGAAACCCATAAAACCAACATATAGAAAAACACTTACACCTCACCTTATCCCACCAATATCAATAGCTGGATCAGAATCTTCGTCGCTGGACCTGCTATTTCTCGATTGCCTAAATCCCCCAATTCCCGCAACTACCAATCCCCTATGAAACGACCACTCTGAAACGCAAATGCTTCGAACAATTCGAACACCCCATATCCCAGAGTTTCTCAAAGATGAGAAAGAAACAGGAACTTCTTTACTATCAAAACGCTGCCTTTTAGAGGTGATTGCTCTACGAGAGCAAGCTACATGGAAGGGGCCTCCTATAACCCGAGCCATGCTTTGAAGTTGCAATGAGAGTGAAGAACCCACAAACAAATTTAGAGATGAGAGTAGGTATCATACACAGAGAACTCAACCAAGTTTAGGAAGCCCCAAATGCTTGTACTCCCCATCTCAAACGGGGGAACACAGTAAGGGAGAGAAAGAGGGAGAGAGATTTCAGAAAAGGAGAGAGAGAGAGAGATTTTTCAGTAAATCATATGAAAGCAGCAGCGCATAGAGGCCAAGCGAGCCAATAAGCGGCCATGACTAACCTTATCCCTACGTCTGAAATAGGGGTGGCAACGGGTCGGGTCCGTTCCGATCCAGCTCCTGCCTCTAGATCCGAAAATATAATAAGGGACCCAGAGCCGATCGGACCCTATCCAAAAATAAAATATCTATATATTTAACTATATTTAAATATTTTTTACATATTAAGACTAAAAAAATATTACCTGATACAGACCATGCTTGGGTTCAAGATTTGGACTGAGATCCAACCCATCAGGTCTAATGTATGGAACAATACTTGGACCCAGATTGGGTCTACCCCTCAATCCCGTCTCAGATCCGGGTCCATTGCCTCCCTTAAATATGATATGCATTGAAGAATATGTGTGATTAGTACAAGGCGTCAACCTTGCAAAGGTGCGCCAACACCACATCCACTTATATTTTTTAGGATGGATAAAAAATCTATTTTGACCTTTAGTAATGAAATTTAGAATTTCAAATATAGTGCAGGTCAAGCAGATCTATATGTACATGAAAATCTAAAAAATTGACAGCATAGATAAAGTACTACCAAATGTATTATTTTTAAATTTATTTTTTCTTTTATATCTATATATCTTGAGATCGAGATGATTAATTATAGGATTTTGACATCAGAATAACTTTTTAAATGGATTTTTAGATGCACATTATTTCTACAGTATAAGGTAGACACCTTATCCAACTTCTTCGTTGAATAATTAGTTTCGCTTATATTTGTTTAAGGTGCACACCTTATACTATACGAGCTAGGAGTACTTTTAAATTTTGGCAGATGATGTATTTCCAGTATCGAATATATTACAATGGCTTGAAAATCCATGTTCAACTTAATTATGAAATTAAAAATTTTAATAATTGTGCATATTGAGCAGATCTATAAACACTTCAAAATTTTGAAAATAGATTGTCTAGATAACTTATTACAATATGAACTATTTTTTATATTTGCAATTCTTTTTTCTTTATGCCATAGATCTTGAGGTCAAGAATATCCATAAGAAAGTTTTTCAACTTCGAAACACTCTTCCTGCTGGAATTTTGAAGTGCACCTTAATGAAGGTTGCGATGCACATAAAAAATCCATCAATAAAAGCTTTTCCAACAACAAAAAACCCTCAAATTGATCATCTCAACCTTGAGATGTATGAATATAGGAAAAAAATGGTTTTGAAATATTAAAAATATCGCATTGCAATATATTATATAGACCATCCATTTTTAATATTCTTAAGTTTTTATGAGGCGGTTTGATCTTCTATGAGAGTGGAGACATTGAATAAAATATCACACACAAAATTAGAATTGGGTGGGCGAAGTGGAAATGAGTCTTAAGTTTTATGCGATCACCACATACCAATGAAACTGAAGGAGAAGCTGTATAGCATAGTTGTAAAACCAGCCATGTTTTATCGGATGAAATAGGTGGTCAAGAAAAAATATATCTATAGAATGAGTGTAGTTGAGATGACGACGTTGAGATGGATGAGTGACAATATAACAAAGGATCTTATTCATAATGAATACATCAAGGGAACTTAGGTGTGGCTCCAATAAGCAATAAGACGAAGGAAAATAGACGTAGGTGGGCTGGCCATGTGCAACATCGACACATAACAACACTACTTAGGAGGGGTGATTTAGTTCAAGTGGAAGGCTCTAAAAGGACAATGAGAAGGAAAAAATCACTAATTTTAATTTTATCAAATTGGTTGGGAAGAATAATAATATATTTTTTTGGGTGCTGTTTGTATAGAGCCTAGGCTCTAAACAATCAAATTAGAGCCTACCTTCAAATAGTATCGAGAAACGTGGTTTCAACACTGAAAATCTTTGTGATAGCCTTAAAATATATTTTCACCTTTATTTATAAAGTTTAAAACTTTAAAAATAGTGTAGATCGACAAATCTATGAAAAGTTGAAAATCTTGAAAATTGACGGTCCAAATATGCCTTACAAAATATACTACTTCCAAAACTTGACATCCTTTTTTTCTCATGATCATGCATCTTGATGTCGAGATGATCAATTGGAGCGTCAAAACAATTTCTTCTAGTGAAATTTTTTAGAGCCTTAGCTCCATATAAAATTTTCCCTATTTTTTTTGGAGGGCTCTTTTTTGTAATCCATAGAAAGATTGGGGAAGTGTGTTTTCTTTTTAAAATGTTGGATTGTGTTAAAGAGTGGTTTCAAGGGATTGGTTGGTATGTGGATTAATTTCTCCAAAAACAGAGAAGCTCATTTGCATAAATTGAGTGGGAATGAGTGGAAGTGATTCTCGGGATATTAGGTGATTGAAATCTCCATTTTCTTGCCTTCTTTCTAATGATTTTGAAGTATTCCATTGCTATAATAACGAAATAGAGAGAGTGTCTCTCCCTGTTTTAGTTTATTTTGTCCTTCAAAGTAATCAAAAGGGGTTTGATTTAGGGTTATGCAGTACCTCTGGATGGTGATGCACATGTTAATCGAATTGATAAAGATATCCTGAAACCATATTTTTTACTTCATTTAAGAGAAACTCTCAATTAACTTTATTAAAGGCCTAGTAAAAGGTCAATATTGAGATAAAAGGATCTCTCTCTATAGTTTGGTACGGCTTTATATGAGTTCCTGAACTTTTAAACCTTGCTTAAATCTGCTCCTCATTGAAGGAAAGCTCATTGATTTGGGCTAATGATAAGATGGGGGACTAATCAGCCGATTACATATCATCTAATAATCTTCAAAATGCCAAAACTCTGTTACTTTTGTTTCATTATGCAAGATCGAATAATCTGTGTAATAATAAAATCTAAGTATCGTAACACACTAACCAAAGTTCACTCGCTGTAACATCTAGTAATATTCATAAAAATACATAAAAATTTACTTTTGAAAAATAAAATTCTTAAAATTTGGGGATTAAGGATTATGTTTCTAGTGAAGACAATAATCCTCACTGCAGGAGAACACATCGCTTTATTTGTACACATATTTTAAATATTGATTCACATGTTTGGATAAAGATAAGGTGTTCACTAAAATGGAGATTTCCCTTTTCCAATTATATATTTTATTATATCTTTCTAGCTAGGCTTGTAATAAGGGAATTTATTATCATAAGAGAGAGATTCAATTCGATTAGGAGGTAGGCTACCCTAAACTATTATTTTGTAGGGCCCCTTCAATAAGTATTCTACCCTAAAGTCCTTGTCGGATCCTACTCTAGTTGAACGTTACAAAATAGATAAATTTTATACCTAGAAAGAATATTTGCACCATGATAGGTGTGCCATAATTGCATCAGAAAAATCCTAACCACCTCCCACCTTAGACCTAAAAATACTCCCTCCCATATTAAGCCATGGGAGGTCAACATAGATCATAACCCCCTAGCTTGAGTCTTGAAGCTTTACTATGAATTCTAAAAGGATTTCTTTCTACAAGGTCTAGGCTTTATTAAAATAAAGTAAATTCTCACCTCGAATTTGTTGGGTGTATATGGCCATTAAAAGCCTTATGAGTATTTGTAAATGAATTATATAGTGGAATATTAAATCAATAGGAGTGTGGTACCGTGTTGACTATACTAAGCAAACGATGTTTGCTGATACTGAACTGTGCTTAACGTGCTAAGTCAGTCTGGTTGATAAAAACCCACATTCTTTGAGTATAGAGAAATAAAGCAATGGAGATTAAATGTGCTATCCCTTGATGATGCTAGAGTATGTCTGGAAGAGTGAGCCGAGAAACAATATGACTCTTGTGTGTGATGAAAAGCCTTCAGAGACGTGGTTAAAGCCTCATCATTTGTATCATCATACGACATACACATTGATAGCTGTTTTCGGGAAAGCAAACCACTTTTAAGGGTAAAGCATGTGTACGTGCGAAAGATACCTCATGTACACCATTGAGCAATGGATTGCATCAGGTCAGGATGACCTTGATTTCGTCTCTAGGGGGACCTGATTTCCATATACTGGGACTGCAACCTCTTGCCCATTGGCTAAACTTTGGTGACCCACTAATAATCCCCTGCATAAACTTTGGGTCATGGGCAACGCTGAGTCGGTTTGAAAAAACATCTGTGGTTCATAGTTCGCAGTTGGACATGGAGTGCTACAGTAGATATTTATTTATAGACCATATGAATCATTTTCCTCTCAAAGTATTTAATTTTATTTATTTTAATAACATATGATTTTTAGAAATTATTATTTGAATTTTTTTAAATCTCTGGATATTTTATTTATCAAATTTGGATTTATAAAAACAGAGATATTGATTTTATAATGATTTAAATATTCAAATAATGATTTTGTGTATTTTTAAAAATATAAAAAATAATATAATTACATGAGAGCCCCAATTTTGGGCCCACCATTGTAAATTGGGTGGGGCACATTGTGTGCCCCAATGGGTGGCACGCCCCACCTAGGGATAACTAGGACACTTTCTATTTTTTATAATCAAACTCTACAGCTTGAGAGATAAGTTTGTGTAGTTTTAAGAAAGCTTAAGCGCTAAGGAAATTTTGAATGATATTTTGGTATCTTTGAGAAAGCTTAGGCATAAAATAAGAAAAGATAATACTATCATATACTAGTTTCGTATTTAAATTAATTGATAGGAAAATAGTTTAGGGAGTGGAGGATAATGGTTCTAACACTGTTCATAGGATATTGATGGCCCATCTATGGAATGGAGAGCTCATATCTCTCACCCCACAAATCACAAAAGATCAATGGTGCATATTCAATCTCACATAAATGGCAAGCCAAGTAAAACTCTAAGAGATCCTAAATTTGTTCAAGCACTATAAAAAAGAGAGTACCCTACTTAAATCTCTGCACCATATCTCTTACACCTCATAACTTTCCAGCACTCTCTTAAAACCTCCCAAAAGAGCATGCCTACTCTAAGTTATATATCACTCTCTCGTAAGTTTTTCTCTCTTGAAAGGCCCAAGGGGGGGCACACCCTACTCTCTTTCATCTCATGGTATCTA